GTCCCCACTAGATGCAACAAATGCCTCGTTTATAATGGGTTTTCATGTTTTTGTATCGTCGCTCCGGCCGTACACGGCATCATCACAATATGGCAAGGGGCGTAACATTTCCGTCACACGCTTGAGGTATTCGGCCAATCACAACGCACTGGATAGCTGGCCAATCACAGCACACCTCGCTTTTTCAGACCGATGAGCTTTGTAAAAATCGGCGCATTTCAGAAAGGCGGGGCATAGAGGAGAAACAATAATGTACAGTATGTGGAAAATAATGTGTTTTTTGAACCTTAAACCGCATAAACACATTTCATTACACCAAATACACAAAATACTGTTCTTTTTAGCAACATCATATGACCCCTTTAACATTGTTTACATGTCTGTTTTGGGTTTTCAATATGATTATAGACAGATCATGTGAAAATTCATCAGTCAACACCATTGCTGAGCATTTTCTCCTTAAAACCACGGTTTTCCAAAGACAGTCTCATAAGATGCAATCATAAGTCAATTGAAAGAGTTTCTCGATTTTAGATTGAAAGATCAGAACAGCCCGTACATACACCCACCCATAGACCCTCCTCTGAAAGAAATCAGGAAAGTAGTCAAAAGTGGTGGATTAAAAAAGCAGGTGTAAATCATAAATGTGATCTGATCGACCAAAACGCATCTTAATACTAAATGTAAACAGGACCTTTTCCTCTGAAAAGTGACTGAACACTTAAGATGCAGTGAAGAGGTTGTCTGCTAAAAGAAGTAATGGTTTTTCTTGCACGTTTTTTTTTTCCTTCAGACCTGCAGAAAGATGTTGGGTTTATTTTTCGGTCTGCTCTTTCTGACACCAGCGGCTACTGAAGGTACCACATTTTTCATTTATAAATGGTTGTAAGTGGGATTCTGCTGGTCTGTTGTAAAAGATGCATATATAGATTTTGTGTTATTTTGGTTTTGTCTTGCAGTGGGTCTTGGTGGTAAAGTGCTTTTGTTTCCAACCGAGACTAACAGCAGCTTTGTTAAACTCACTCCTGAAAAGCCACTGAGTCTTTTGGCATTCACACTCTGCATGCGTGTCGCGACGGAGCTCCAGGTCACGAGGGACATCATTCTGTTCGCCTACCGCACATTTAACGTCGACGAGCTGAACCTGTGGAGAGAGGCTGGTGGTCATTTGTCCTTGTATATTCAGTCTAGTAGCAATGGAGCATTTTTCCTTCTGCCTCCTCTCTCCACCTTCCAGACTCACCTGTGTGACTCTGCGATTGGTCTCACTGCCTTCTGGGTGGATGGACGTTGTAGTTTATTCAAGATCTATAGAAAAGGTCTCTCAATCCGTCCTGGGGGCACCGTCCTGATCGGCCAGGACCCCGATGCATATGTGAGCACCTTTGACGCAGAGCAGAGTTTTGTAGGAGAAATTACTGATGGTACTGATCACCACTTCATGGTGTTGCATGCATCAGTCCAAAAGAAGTTAAATAAAAAGCACCTATCCATAAAAAAAAAAAAAGTGTCTCACACGGTTCCGGGGGGTGAACAAAGGCCTTCTGTAGCGAATCGATGCGTTTTTGTAAGAAAAATATCCATATTCAAAACGTAATAATCACTTTAATGTAGTTTGCACCAACAGTTGTACACAGAAGCAGTTCCGGGCGGATGACGTATGAGGTCAGCGGTCCAACGTTTGTTAACAGAAGCAAAGGAAGCAAAGTTTCCTTACTTTAGCAAAGGAAAACCAGTCTCCTCTTGGTTTATATCGAAATCCTCCGACATTCTTCTTTACAAATCCTAGTTTTGTACTTCTAATAAGTGACCGTTGTTTTGTTTTGATCTCTCCGCTGCGCTTCCGCGTTCGTCGCTTCTGAGCGGCGCATGCGCAACGCTGACCTCATACGTCATCCGCCCGGAACTGCTTCTGTTTACAACAGTGAGCGCAAGCTACATTCAAGTGATTATTATGTTTTGAATATGGATATTTTTCATACAAAAACGCATCGATTCGCTACAGAAGGCCTTTGTTCACCCCCCGGAGCCGTGTGAGACACTTTTTTTTATGGATGGGCGCTTTTTATTTAACTTCTTTTGGACTAATGCATGCAACACCCGCTGAGTGGCATTAAACAGCTTGAAAGATCAAAGACAATTTTTAATATAACTCCGACTGGATTCGTCTGAAAGAAGAAAGTCATATACACCTAGGATGAGTTGATGGTGAGTAATTTATGGGCTAATTTTCATTTTTGGGTGAACTAACCCTTTAAGGGCTAGCTGTGAAAAATAATTGACTATGATCAGGTGTAATGTCACATACATACACAGTGTACAAAGCTTTTAAAGCTAACCAATAAATATGAGCATTACGCAGAACTTTTGAGCTGTGTTCTTGTATGAAATGCACTATATACTGTATAATATGCTGCTGCTGTCTGGTGGTCATATGCAGGCAGTGCAGTTCTCATTGCATAAATACAGATAAAGTGTTGTCTTCATTTATACAAAGCAATGTTTTAACATCTATAACTCATTATTAAGCCACAAACCTAGGCAAAGAAAACTATTTGAAAATCTATCAATTAATAAAAATGATTTATAAAATCATATAACACACATTGACAGCTCCTGTGATCCTGAATGGGAAAACAGACCAAAGTCAACTTTTTGTCAAGATTACAAAAACTTAAATAAATAAATAGCTTGCTCTGTCTACCTGTTTGACATTTGTTATCATCTGTTCATTTGGTTGACACAGAAATAAAGAGGAAGAGACATTTGAAAACCTCTTTTTGTCTCTTTAATGAGTTTTCGGTCTCATGATTGTGTGAATCCTCACAAAGCATCTTTTGTTGGTTTGTCTGATGACATGATGGTGCAAGGAGGGAAGCGGCTCAGCAGCGTTTCTTTACTCAGAGAGAAATAAACACCCTTCTGCTACGCAGTAAGTATTCTGGAAGTCTTGCCTTGTTTAGTCATAATTTATATATCATTGAAAATCATTTCAACTTAGATGCATAATGATACTAAATGTTACAGTGTAGTAATAGTAGTGATAATAATAATAATAATAATAATAATGCAGCTCTGTAATTCGATAGCAATGGCACACCAGTGTTATTTTAGTATCACTGAGATACTAGTTTTTATTAATATTTTAAATTAGTTTTTATTTTTATATTTTGTTTAAATTTTGGTTCAATTTGTAGGTTTTTTGCCATTTTTATTTTACTTTTTTTATATGTCGGTAACACTTTACAATAAGGTTCTATTTGTTAGGTATATTTAATGCATTAACTAACATTAACAATGAGCAATACACAGTTACAGTATTTATTCATCTTTGTTAACATTAGTTAATAAAATACAACTGTTCATTGTTAGTCCATGTTAGCTCAGGTCCATTAAATAACATTAATAAACCTTTGATTTTAAATTATGTATTAGTAAATGTTGGAATCAACATGAACTAAGATCAACAAATCAAATGCTTTATAAGTATTTGTCGTTGTTAGTATTTGTTAACTACGCTCTTCTCGGCCAGGACCCCGATAAACACCTGGGGGACTTCGAGGCGGTGCAGAGTTTCGCCGGCGAGCTCACGGACCTGAACATGTGGGACTACGTCCTCACCGGAAACCAGATTAAAGCGCTGTATCTGAACCACGCGCAGCGCGTGCCGAGGGGAAACGTGTTTGACTGGAACACCATCGAATATGAGATTAAAGGAAATGTGCTAGTTGTGCAAGATGATTAAAATATTCAGTCACATACAACAATGTTTGTTAATTTGCTATGGTTTTCTTCATAGAATATTCTGTTTAATTGGAAATATGCCAACAGCATAAGTCAAGGTGTCCAGATGTGCCACTTCCCGGGGAAACGTTATGCACAGGATTTCTAAATTGCCTAAAATAACCTGGTGCTGGTTATTTGGTTGGTGCCGATCGATTGTTGTATGACATCAACGTACCGCGAGAGCTAGCGAGCAGAGCAGACGGCCCCATGCTTTCGAATCAATCTCGCGGTATTTTGATGTCATACAACAATCGATCGATCGGCACAGCGCAATTTTTTAGGCAATTTAGAAATCCTGTGCAGAACGTGTCCCCGGGAAGTGGAACTTCTGGACACATTAGCACAATTTAACATGCAAATATTTTTGCATCACAACATAGTTTTTATTAGTTTTATTTTTTATTTATTTACAACATAGTTTTTATTATTTTTATTTTTATTTATTTATTTATTTTGGGGGGAGATAATCGATGGCTGATGAATCTTATTTAAAAGTGAACTAATAGATTAATCAGTCATAACTCAAATATTAAACCTAGAAGTTTAATATCCCTTACAAAAATTAACCATGGGTTTACTACAAATAAAACCAGAAAACCATGGTTACTACAGTTAAACCATAGAGTGGTAACTACAAATTAACCATGGTTTTGCTACACTAACCATAGTTTAACCATGGTATTTGTAGGAAAACTGTGGTTATACAAATGGTAGGCTAATCAATTCGCCAAAAAAAAAAAAACATGGTTACTACACTTTTACTACTATAAAACCATGGTTAATTTAAGCGTGCTGTACTAACAGTAATAGCCTATTTATGTCACAGTAACAGTTTTCATTAGACTAATCTTTACCTGCTCAAATAACTGACACTTATTCAATTTTATCATTCGATTTAGTAACTAAGATATCTGCTAAGAACTTAAATTAAATGTAGATGTAACAATGTGTCTGTATTTAAAAACGGTGATGTAATAAATTATATATTTGTCGATGTTTGTTTTTGCTGCACTTTCTCCATGTGGCACCACACCAGTTCTGAATCACGTGTAACCCATTCAATAACAGCTATTTAATAATTAATAGGACTGCATCCATCTTAATTTTAAACGAGGAAGTACGCTATTTTCTGATTCATTAGCTATATAGGTAAATAACGAAGTAGCTATAACAAAGTGTATTAAGTAATATATCACAAATAGCAAAAATAACAAGTAGGCCTAAGCTATATAGTCTGCAATATCAAGCAGCATAATGGGCTGTTTTTGCACAGGTAAAATAACTGGAGGTGAATGAAACCGGAAGCCTGCACATTCCAATTACAATTACACATTCTTACTTCTTGATATGGTCGACTGTACATTTTTTAAATATGAGAACTTTAATAATGTCAGTATTTAATATGCAGGACACAAAGGGACAAAACTTTGGGGTAAAAACTAAATAACAGCCTTTGCTCATTGAGAATTCTATCATGAACTTTAAAAACAGCTGCGTGACTCTGAGGCATCACTGGGATCTGCTTTATTTTGTATGTCTGTCACCAGGGTTTAAATAATGATGTGTTGAAACATGATTGATTAGATACCGAGATGTTATTTCCATTCATTACACATTAGCTACAGAACTGGATGAATTTAGATTACGCTTTGACAGTCATTCCAATGTGGCCCAAATCGTTAACCATGTTTAACATCTCAGCCTTTACTCCTGCTTTTCCGGATTTCGTCAGTATTTTTGTGCAAAGTTAACCAGGCTTGTAAATGTGAGGAGTTTTTGCTGCACACTAGGTGGCGTTATGGAGATACGCTTTAGGAAGTTTCTCGAGACTGATCTCAAGTCTTCCCTTCTCAAAACGCTAATATTATACTGAACACTTTTTTTTTCTAATTATAGTTCATGATAACGGCTATAAAATAATGGTAATTTGTGCTATTCTGGCCCAAAATATATTTTGAATAAATGCTAAATATATGTTCTAAACAGTGAAGCTGTTTTTTGTTTTTTTAAACAGTACATTTCCAATCATTCTTAGGTCTACATTTAGGATTTATTCATTATTATTTTTATTCAAATGCGTTATATGTTCACATAGACAACAAATAAAAATAAGTTAAAATAAGTTATTAAATAAACATATAAATATAAATATAAAGTTATTATAAACTTAAGTTAAATAAGTTTTTCTTTAAATGGGACATATGTGAACATATTTTCTTGGATTGAAATATATTGAGTGCAAAATATATTTTGAAACAGTTAAAAAAAAAAATTTGTTTTAATATATTTTAAAAAATACAAAAAAGCCCCAAAATATATTGGTAGGAAATATATTTACATAAATATATTTTGAAACATGTTTTAGCAAATATATGTTTTTTTGCTTTTTTGTATATTTTGAAATATACTTCAAAATGTATATTTGAAAATATTTAGATTTTTTTGCCATATGAATCGGATGTCTCACATATTCAGTATTCACAGAAAAATATCTCACTTCCGCATTACAAAATAAGGTGGATATCATGACATAAGTTGAATCATTGGGGAATATGTAAATGATATACATTTTAAATAAAAATATTAATATATATGAGAAAAAGCCCACAATATATTAATGCACAGTCCTATTCCAAAATCTTCATTTGCTTTGACCTAAAATTCACATTACCCGCCATGTAAAAAATGCTATTGCATGCAAAACGTCATTACTTTTTGTCAAGTGTAACTCTCATTCACAGATAGCTGTATGTATAAAACTGAGCACAGATTAAGAGAGTGAGAGAGTTTCCACACTGGCACATCTTACCCCACTGAAGAAGGCGGCTGATCGTCTGTGATGCTCAGAGTGAAGTGTTTCTGGAGCGCTTCACCTCCAGACAGTGATGTAGGTGACGAAGCTGTGAGGAGAGAGGAAGCACATGTAACATCACAACACTCTAGATAGAGGAAGAACCTACTCATCTCTGCTATCTTCGCATGTGTGATTGATTTTATTCTGTGGAAGATAAAGCAAGGAATACTGCAGAATATCCAGAGGGCTCTTTATAATAATGGGACTTGGGATGTAGAAGCCATACTTATGAATAGAGACAGACATACATACAGAAGCCATACTTATACAGATTACATATACAGAGATATGAAGCCATACTTCCAAAAATGTAATTTAAACCAGTTAGCAAGCGGTTTTATTTCTGTAATGTAATGTGCTTTAGAAAGAGCAGTTTGGACAGTCTTGAAAACATTTTTCAAACAAACAAAATAAGGGTTTGGAACAACGTCAAGGTCAAAAAGTAAAGCAAATAAAGCAAATCTCTGGGGTTTGTGAGGTGGTGCAAAGCTAATAATTAAATCATAACGGGTTATTATAGTTAATTAATACTAAAACCACAAACACTTGAAATAAAATGAACTTTTATATTTTATTTTTTGTTTAAAGTCTTAAACTTATTTTAGCTAGTTACTAAGGCAACATTGCTCACTTTCATTTAGTTTAACTTGATACTAAAACAGTACTAAAATAATTGGATGTATATATAAATGAAACAAAAACTAAAAATTCATAATATTAATAATAAAAATCTAGATGATCCTAATATAACAGCTTTACACACAAAAATTAAGTTCAATAAGTGTCAATATGTTGCAAAATTCATCAATTATGAAATATATTCAATTCTGCTGTAAATAAGAAATGTATTTATTTATAGAAGTCAATAGTGTCAATTCTGTTCAATAACAGTATCAGGGTTGCAAAGTTCATCAATTATAAATCTAAATATTATTTTTTTTTAACTTTCAGATTTTATTTATTTACCTGGATGTCATGTGACCATTAACCAATAAATAATAATAATAATAACCAATAATAATGTTAAATTACTGACATAATAACTTCAAATCTCAGGAAGGACGTCAGAGGGGTTTGACTGACACAAAAGTTTGAGAATCTCTGCTTTAAAGTATTAAAGCTGACAAATTGTGCATATTAATTTATAAAATATTAATGAAAGCCAATCATTATTGCATTTTTTATTTAAATTTTAAAAAGCATGCCAGAATTCACATGTGTAGTATATAGGTTATTGTATTTTATACGCATTATGTAGTAAACATGCGTGTCTTCTGAGGATGAGCGACAGACAGACAGACAGACAGACAGAGGGAGTGGGGGTTATTCTGGGCATGTGTCTGCGTGTATGTGCTGGTAAAAAGTTTTCCACATGACGGACGAGAGGTAGTGCGGGGCAGGCCGCTGGGCCAGACAGCAGGAGCGTGTGTGTGTGTGTGTGTGTGTGAGAGACAGCAGGACAACATTCTGGACCCCTTCAAGCAACTCCAAATAGATTTCAAGGCAAAAGATATTTGCATAAGTAAGACAGGGCTAAAAGCCATGGTGGAGAGTGGCTCGTGTTCACTGAACAGACGGAAATCTCTCTGGGCTCTCCTGCAGAAATTACAACTTATTAGAACATCAGTGTGTGTGTGTGTGTGTGTGTGTGTGTGTGTGTGTGTCCTGAAAAACCCGACCACACAAGAGCCGAGCTTGAGTTTAACATTGAGTTGTCATTACATTGACATTAACTAACAATGAGTAATATGATTTTACAGCATTTGTTTATCTGTATTAACGTTAGTTAATAAAATTGTTCAAGTGCATTAACTAATGTTAACAAATCATGTATGACATATAATACTGTTCACAAGTTTTGAGGTTAGTAAGATGTTTTTTTTTTTTTAAAGAAGGCTCTTTTACTCACCAAGGCTGCATTTATCTCATTAAAAATACAGTAAAAACAGTAATAATGTGAAATATTATTACAATTTAAAATAACTGTTTTCTATTTTAAGATATTTTAAAACATCATTTATTTCTGATGCAAAGCTGAAATTTCAGCATCATTACTCCAGGCTTCAGTCCTGATTATTATCAACACTGAAAACAGATGTGTTCATATTTTTGCATATAGTACATAATTTTTATACGATTTTCTACGATTTCCGGGTCTGAATGTCATGTTTTAAAATGTACTGATATTTTCAGGTTTTCCCAGTCATGAAAAATATCAGTACATTTTAAAACAATGACATTGAAAATACTTGAATATTAAACAAACTAACTAACTAACTAACTCATTCATTCATTCATTCATAAATAAATAAATTGGAATTTTGGAAAATGGTTTGAATGGCAATTATGATTTAATGATGCTGACATAAAAATGTCCTTTCAAGATATGTTATAATGCATTTTATAATGTGTTAATAAAATAAAAACAAACTAAAATATAACAAATAAAAATATTTAATAAAACATTTTTGATAAATATAAATAAATAAATAAATAAACAATATACTACAAAAAATTT